CGGGAACCCCAGGAGGACCAACGCAGGGACGATTGCAGCCCCCACCGAGAAAAGGGCAGAGGAGCGCTCCGGAGGGGGGCCATCCGGCAGCCACATCACAGGAGCCCCAGGGGGCCGTGGCGACGAACCAATAAGTTTTAAGGAAGAAAGCACTTAAACGCTTTCTGTTAATGTGATGTTTTAAATTAGTATAAAAGCCATTATTTTAAATTAGAATAAAACATTTATCCAACAAGAATGAAGGATGAATTTAAACACCTTACCACAAAAATGCGTTGCAGTCACATGTAATGACTGTTAGAAATGACCAGTCAGAGACAGACGTGGGGGGGGGTCTTATCAGGCAGACCAGGAGGGGCGGCGCCATTATAACAGCAGTGGCAGCATGAAGTTTGCTGGAATGACAGGGGCGGAAAATAAAAATGGCACCTATTGCATGACGTTGTAATGATTCCCTTCTGAATGGCCAAGGGGGAGATTTACCGCCACACTCCCGAATCCCGGAGGCTTGCTGGGTTGATGACTGTTTTAATAGACTAAACGGCCCCGGGGTAACAGCTCTGCCATTCCCCACACCCTCCCTCCCTTCATGCACAGCTACAGCACCCATAAGGTGAGACCCCCAGTAGGAGAAAAGGGCTGTTCCCAGCCAGGAAAACACACCTATCATACAGCACCAGATATAAACAAGGCAGAAGCCCAAACAAACTGGACACCACGTGTTTTAGGTATGTCATCTACTGGAGCTGTCCAGCCCATCCCATTGTGATCTGTGGACACTGTGCAGTTCACTGATACTGGGTCTCCATGTCTCACCACCACTCTGGGAGGATGGAGCTCAAGACAGCCATCTGCAGCTGGCAAAATAAAAATTGAAAATAATTATTAAAAAACAAAAAAAATTTGGGCAATTTTGATAATAGTGGGTCTCCATATCTTTACAGCACTCTCCATCAGTACATTTCAGGGGTACATGCCTCATTGTATGTACAAAGCCAAAAATAGGAAGGTATTTAAAATGACCACCATCATGACAGGAGTCCAATACAAAAATCATCAGCAGCTACAAAAAAGAATGGCAGCAATAAGTGATACTGGGTTTGAGTCTCGCGAAATCACTTCAGCTGGGGACGGGAAAGCTGCAGTATTTACTATCCATGTAACTATAAGCTACTGGCAAAGACAAAAAATATCAGGAATAATATTATTACTGGAGACCTGATGGTACTTCGTGCTGCTGGGTTGAACCAGGCAGTGACTGACAGTGCATGATGGGATCTGGCCTCATTTCAGCTAAAACGCTACTGAGCACAGGCCGGTCTCCCTCCCAGCTGCAAAAGCAAAGAATGAATGGCATTTTAAAAGTATCCCCAATGTTGCAATGTTATACGGGGCTGAAACCTGCTTTAGATCAGAGCTCATCTGCCGGTGGGGAACATCAGACCAAGACCTTCGTCTTATACGCTGGGCAGAGGGCCCTGGGCAGCACTTGCTGGAGGGACTGTATCTCCCAGCTGGCTTGGGGCCTCAGTATAGGTGAATTTTGGTCACTAAGCAACTTTTCCTTTCCTTTCTTTGATTTTATTACTGTCTAATTTAACAGTGGCCCTTTTATGTGTGCGTTAGCCTACAATGCATGTATTTTAATTTATATTTTATGATAGCTATTAATGTTAGTGTGTTGTATTTCACACACGTTATGATTGTACAGCACTTTAGTCAGTGTTGGCTGTTTTAAAATGATAAATAAAATAAAATTGATTTGATCTGATTTATTTTGTCCCATGGGGTCAGGCTGCCAGCTCACATGACCAAGTGTAAGTCTGGGCTGTTTTAGAATGTAGAGACGGTGAAATAACATAAAACTGGAAAAACAAATGGGAATTGTAAAGAGTTTTATTAAGATGGTGACACTGTAACCGTGATACACAAAAAGAGTGTCAGGAGTAACCAAAACATAAAGCAGAATAAGTGAAACATGCAGCTAACTTCATTCATTCATTTTCTGTACCCGCTTGGCCTATGCAGGGTCACGGGGGTGCAGAGCCCAGCCTGGAAACAACAGGCGCAAGGCAGGGAATAACCCAGGATGGGGCGCCAACCCAGTGCAGATGCAACTAACTTTTCTTGCCCAAACAGATCATAACAAAAAGACAACAATCCCCCCACCCACATAAACAGCAAAAAAAGATAAACCCGAGGCCAAGACAACAGCATGCAATAAAAAGAATGCAAAAATTAAGGACAATGAGGGTCAGAGCAATATCCATAGTCATTTCAATCCGAAGCCAAAATTATTTTGTCCTAATCAGAACAAGACAAATGACATGAACTGAATCATGTATCCAGACTAGCCACGACCAAATGAAGCTTCATCATTTTCTATATTTTTTAACCCCCACTAGATGGCGATATTGGTTTACTTTGGGGGATGCATTGAGCCTGTTTTTTTTTTTTTTAATAGAGAGCACCATCTAGTGGTGTCAGAAAACACAGCAAATGGTTCATGAAGCTTCAGTTGGACATCGCTAACCCAGACTAGGAGGCAGACCCGGAAGGGGGAGTGAATATATGGCAGCGCACATAACAAATACCAGAGGTATGTAACAAAGTGTTCACGGAAAGGTGTGGATGTAAAAATCAACGTTTGAATTTTAAAAATTCTCCATGCAGGGACTTTTCAATGGGCAGGCGGTCCTTGGCAGGGCTGGT